AATAAGGAATGTGTATTTATTGTTACTGAAAATTGTGACACAAGGCAGAAGGGGAGTGTGGCTAGGCAACATTAACTATTCTAAACGTAGCTAATCAAATTCACGACCCATTAGTTCATAACAATTGATTCATTTAGAAGAACTCACCCATCGCCATTCAATCCACCATATATCCCAATACCACATGTTCCATTATATGCACCTTTCATAATGTTCTAAATGTTTTGTCTGTTTTGGGGGCGGGGATTTTTTGAATTTTCTTACAAAAATATAAAATCCTAATTTGATTAATTGCAAAACACTTGCCCTTTGTCAATTTATAAGCAGAAACACACAAATGCATGCTGGGATTTTTTTCCTAGCCAATAAAATGAGCCAGTTCTCGGTGTCATCTGACTCAGTCCCGGTCTGTCTTGTCTTGAAGTCAGAACGCCTGTTCGAACTTTGCTCTTGTGTGTCAACCCTAATTCCCAGTTTTTTGAACTTTTCGCCATATTACAGTTACTTTGTCTTATTACTCTTAATTTGCCTTCCATATATTGTGTGCTTGCTTCATAAAGCATGACACATTTAGATACATACAGCGTCATGCTGTGTGAAATAATGACAAAAGCCAGTGACGCAAAACATTAGATAAGAAGTGGAATGATTTCAGGTCTAAATATTTGAAATTCACTGAAAAATACTTCGAAATTTTGTTCTGACTCAACATATATGAACAGTCATAAATAGATAGATACACACACACACACACACACACATATATATATATATATATATATATATATAGAGAGAGAGAGAGAGAGAGAGAGATAAATAGAAAGAGAGAGGTGGAATATGGCGATTGTGTCAGACAGACGGATGGCTAACTAGCTAGTGAGCTTGCTAGATAGATTACATCACCAACCTTTATTAAATGCATTCTTAAAGAAATACACATACGCGAGCGCCCCCCACACACATACACATACGACCCTGCGCACACGCACACACACATAGACATACAAATATTCATTATCATCCGAATCCCGCATAAACAAACTAGTATTATGATACACATACACACTTAAATTATACACACAAACGCTGCTTGACAAGTTAAAGGCAGGAGAGTTTCGATTAAGCATTGAAAATCAAGTAATTTAAATACCAGAATTACTTTAACACAAATAAGGGAATTGACGGCGTCTTTGGTTGGAAATAATTGGTGGGAGCTCCTTAATGATATAATTAGTTCGTTTGCTGCTGATTATGGAAAGCGTCTCAGTCGAGTTAGATCCACAAAGCAAACGGCACAGGAATCTAAATTAGAGGAATCTATATAATCGGAAGATAGTGGAGCGCCATAGCTGCAGCTAGGGCAGAGTTGGCCTCCTTGCTTATCAATGCCGGTAAAATCAACCATGAATGTGAGAAATTTAAACTGGATAAATTATACCCAGACAGTTTTGTTATCAAGTAACAAAGCGGAAATATACCTCCAAATACTTACAAAACTTGAACATGATTCAAATTTAATGACAGGGACTGTTGCGGAAGATGGCCAGTTTAAGGCACGATGCAGTGAAAATCGAGAAAAATGGCCTGACAGAAGTACAAATGATCATGAAGAAGACAGCAGCGCCAAAAGGAAAATCCCAGAATATAAATACTGCAAAAATGAATCTATGCTATGCCTGTGGTATGCTTCATCTCAGAAAGGACTGCCCATTTAAAACCAAAAAATGTTTTAAATGTGGAAAAAACAACGCACAAACGAAGCTACTACAAAAGAAATACACAAATTAACTTGCTGAAAGTAGTGCTACCAGCTAAAAAAAACTGGACAGTATAAAGGAATAACGCTACGGCGAAATTTCAATTAGACACTGGTAGCGATATTACAATTATTGATGAACAAACTTTGAATAGAATTGGCAAGCCTAACTTGAGAAAAACTGACAAAATAGCAAGAGGAATATCGAGCAAGAAATTAATTTTTCTTGGGAAAATCACGTGTAACATCGCTCTTGCGGGTAAAACTAAAAAAAGCAGATGTTTATGTATTTAAAATTTCCAACACGAATTTACTGGGCGTCGATTGGCTAGACTTATTTCAAGTATGGAATTGGCCGATTAATTCATTCTATAGAAAAATTAATTGTTCTTCAGAGAAAAAGATTACAGCTAAAGAAACATTGAATAAACTAAAAAAATAAATTCACTACTATTTTCTCAGAGCAGTTGGGAAAATGTACACAGTCAAAGGCATTTTTTTAAATTAAAAGAAAATGTGGTACCAATGTTTATGCCTAAAAGAAAACCTTTTGCTTCGTTGGAGTCTATTAACAACGAATTGCGTAGATTAAAAAAGCGCGGAGTTTTTGAAAAAAACTCAGAATGGGCCAGCAGTATTTATTAGGAAGATAAATAACTAGATTAGTTTATGTACAGAGTTTTCAACTCGATTGAATGCCTTCTATACCACATGTATATCCCCTAACAACTCCAGAGGGTATAT